AGGTGAGAGAGAGAGTAGGAAAAGGATGATGTGGGTCCGGTCTTGGGAATAGCGGAGTCCTATAGGAGGCTATGAGAGGAGAATGGTAGGTCTTAATTGGGGCAATTAAACATCAGTATTATTCTCTCCGTCCTCTGGATTTTTCTTTCTTTTGGGGACGGTTTTCATTTACAAAGAAGGAAATACAGATATCAGAGGGGGATTGATGAGAGGTAAAAATAGGCGATTATATGACGAGAGAGATATAAGAGGGGAATGGGAAAGAACTATATGCGAAAATATAGGAACAGATAGAAGATTAGTTTTTGAACTTTGGGGTGCGGAAATGCTGTTGAAATCTACGTATAGGTTCCTTTTGATCCAAGTTGTAAACAGTTTTCTTTTTGATCAATTGGCCAGTACTATCCTGACTGATAAAGGCTACGAGCAATAGGCAGCGGATTCACGCTGATCCAGGGGAAAGACGTGGGCGGTGGGGCGACAGAGGTATTACGAATGCTGACAGCCAGGGTGACGACGGGGGTGGGGGAGCCTCGAGTACAGATAGTGCACAGAGGGTACATGGTAAGTAACCATTTGTGTTTGGTCTTTTGTTGTATTTTCATTTGCATTGAATTCTATACATAGCACTAGGTGTGTGATGAGTGGATATGGCATTGGCTTGAAAAGCTAAAGTAATCTAGAAAACACTTCTATTCAGGTATGCATAATGACTGTTCATTACATTTTAATTATTTCGAACTTTAATCCAATTAATAGATGTTTTATTCTATTCACGTTTGCATTTCGCACTTTCGGGAGAAACTCGGGTTTGGATTCAATTAGTGGTATTTCGCGATTCTTGTATCCATATATTATATTATTACCATGAGTGTGATTCAATGGTATGATCGGATTCATCCACAGATGCTTAATCACGTGAATAGTGACGATTACACGAGTAGTTCACTAAACTGAAATCATGAAATTCGCGAGAGAGGTCAAGTCATTGAGGTAACTATGAAATACGCCGATGGAGTCATAAGAACCAATCGAATGAGAAAAAATAGGACAAGGACAATAATATGAGCGCAAAATGACAGTAAAGAAGGGAGGAAAATATGCAGTAATTTTGGTCAAGATAGGAAAAGATGAAGCGAAAGAAATGGAAGGAAGAGGAAAGTATTGCACAGTAGGAGGGACAAGTGTACGTATTATCATTATCATCCTCATCGATCATGCGAGCGGACCGAGCCACACGCAAACAACCGAGCCATTCAAGCCATTGCCAATTGGACAAATGCAAAGCTCAATCCTGCAAGTGGCCTATCTATACAATCATCACCATCATTTTCATTTCAACACTCGTACGCATGAGGAACTGTTGCCTCTCCATACTTTATCACTAACCACCAACCACCCACAAACCGAATCACTACAGTGAATACGGCACATTTCGCGACTCGCGAAACCGGTTGAACCGGTGCTGCTAACTCCTACTACCTGAGGTTCATCCTACGCAAGCTATACGACTCGGGTGAGGCGGGTTGTAGATGAACCCGCTACCCACCCTACACCCAGGACTACGAATAGCCAGCTTCATATGGTCCGCTGGTTGTCCCGAACAGCATTTTCGGTCGTTGACTGGTCGTGCTCGTCCATCGCGAGGCGCAGCGTGTCGGCGTCAAGATCGAAAGAGACGGGGGCGGAGTCGGAAAGAGAGGGAAAGAAGAGTGGAAAAGGCAAAAAACACTTGTTGATGATTAACGTTATGTTCCGACTGCTTCTTCTCATGCCCCTCCTTCCCACCCTCCCCCCTCCTTCCGTGCTGTTTTACGAACACTCAGCGTCACACACGGTGCGCTCCCTGGCCACTCGGTCGTGACGTTTAGTTCGCGGTATGCTGGCAATTAATTATGTATATTTTGAGTTATTATTATTTCTTTGTCAGTGAGTAGCGACTAGCTAATTGAATATTTTGTTTCGTCCCAGATAATATTGACAACATAGCCCGAATTCACAGACCTGAGATTCTTTCATATATATTCCATGAATGAATTATTGGTACTACGTATTAGTATGCTCACCAACGAATTTATTATTTTTTATTAGTTTCATTATTAGCATCACTTAGGTATTATTTTATATGCTAATTAATGTTCGTATTTTTGGATTGAATCTAATATCATTCATCTTATTCTCGACCCTTGTTATTTCTGTTTAAGAAAACTTCTTTACGCCACTATAGGCGAAGCTTCTGCATATTCTGACAATAAATATTCACAGACATAATTTATAATATAAAAAAGTATTAACAATATAAACAGAAATTAAATGCATTTGAATAATTTTAGTGGCAAAGGGTTGATTTAATTCTCAATCGATAACCTTGTATATATTTAATTTGTATATTCTCAATTGCAAATGTACATTCTTAGAGTCTTGATCGTAAAATCTAATGATGAGAGTTGATCAACATCTTTCTTAGCGTAACACTGTTTTTCTGCCTCTCATTTATCTTGCGCCTTGGTTCTTGAGTATTCACACATATATCCTGTTATCGTTTAATTTGTTGTCTCTTGTCCTAGAGTATGTAGCTATTCGATTTCGTTTATCACAAATACTTTATCACCTCTTTTCGGATTCCCTTGTCCTTTTTCTCGTTTCATTATTGCCTTTTGTTGACGTTTTGTCCGTGTGTGCTTCTCTAAATTATTTCTCTCCAACTTTGTCAGGCTGCTCTGCTTCTTTCTGTTCGTTCTTAAGTTCTCTCTTATCAGTTCCGGTTCTGGTGGTACCCCCATATTTGACCTTCCGTATTTGTTCATTCTCATATAGATCTCATATTTACACTGCTTTATTAAAGAATATATATTTCATTTCGCTTTGAGTGAGAAGATTTATGAGGTTATTCTTACATTCTTGTCTTTTTGCCTTTCTTTTTGTGAGAGCAACGATCACTATTCTGAGTAGAAGTAACAATCACGAAACTATATATAACATCCCGTCTTTCAGTTCTATTCTCGAGTTCACGAAACTCGTAAATCTCTCTCCTCCCTCTCATTTCCCTCGTCTATTCACCCCCCTCCCCTCCTCCCACCATGCCTTTTATGCTTCTACCCGACTTGTCGCATCTGCCGGCTCTCTCACCTCTTCCCCTCTCTGCACAGCGACGGTCTCTGTGCTCCTTTTCACTTCTATATTTCTCTCGGTTGTCCCGTTATTTACCTCCCGTATTGTGAAGATTCTAATTCTGCATTTCATTTGCCCATAGTCAATTTCATTCACAGGCCCGCCCCCACTTTTCTTGCATCCTCTTCCTCTCACCCTCCCTCCCTCTCTCTTAGATTAACCAGCATCAATCTTCTCCTTCTCCTTCTCTTCTTCCTTCTCTCTCTCTCTTCCTCTCTCCTTCCTCTACTTTCTCTCTATCTCTCCTCTCTGCTTTACTATCTATCCCTTTCTTTCGTCTCTCTCTCTCTCTCCTCATCTTTTCTTCTTTCTCCCATTATATCCTCTCATCTCTTTCCTGCTTCCTTCTCTTCCACATTGGTCCGCCTTTTCGTCTCTTCTTTCACTATTCCTCCTTCTCCCTTCTCTCTTCTCTTATTCTCGCTTCCCCTCTTCCCCAATCCGTCTTCACCCATTCTTCCTTTTCTTCTTTCTTTGTCTATTTCTCCTTCGTCTCCGGACGCCTTCTTGCCCTCTTCTCGCCTCCTCTCTTTTATCCTGTCGCTCCCGCTTTATTTCTTCTGATTTGTAACCGGGCCATGGTATACTCCGCCTTTCTATTCCCCCTTCGTGTAACCGTATCACTTCCTTATTCGCATTTCCTTTCTAATTCCGCATTCCTACTGTCCAATGCTCTTCGTATGTCCGAAAGAAGTAGAACTCGATCGCTTCTTTCTCCCTCTTCTCTTCTCATTGCGTATGTTCATCCTCATTTTTCCTCCTTCCTTCCTTCATTTCCTAGTTCTCGCTCTTCCTCTTTCTCCTTTTTCCCCTTCTTCTCCTTTCTTCCTTCTTCCTTCTCCTAATCCTCTTTATTCCTTCTTCCTTCTTTCTCCTCTCCCTCATTTCTTCCTTCTTCTCCTTCTTTCTTCTTCCTTCTCCTAATCCTCTTTTTTCCCTCTTCCTTCTTCCTCCTCTTTCTCCTTCTCCTCCTTCCTTCTCTCTTCTTTTCTTTATTCTTCTCTTCTTTCCCCTCTTAATTCCCTTCTTCTTTCTCTTTTTCATTTCTCCTCCTGTCTTCGTTCTTCCTTCTCCTAATCCTCACTCTTCCTTTTTCTCCTTTCCTCCCTGTTCTTCTTCCTTCTTCCTTCTTCCCATCTCCTAATCATCTTTATTCACTCTTCCTTCCTCCTCTTTTCTCCTTTCTTCCTTCCTTCTTTTAATCCTGATTTGGCTTACTTCTTTCTTCTAGTCTCACCCTCTTCTTTCTCCTTCCTTCTTCCTTCTCTTTGATCCCGTTTTCTTCTTCCTTTCTTTCTTCCTTCCTTCCTGTCCCTTTGATCCCCGTTCTCTTCTTCCTTTCTCCCTTTTCCTCCTTTCTTTCTTTTTTCCTAATCCCGTTCTCTTGCCCCGCCTCCCAATCGCAAAAATTGATTGGATTTTCTCCTTTCTTCTTTCATCCTCCTTCTTCCTTTTCGTTCTCTCTTCTTTCTTCCTTTTCTTAATCCTCGTTCTCCTTCTCTCTTCCTTCTTCCTCCTCTTTCTTCGTTTATTCCTAATCCCTCTTCTCCTTTTCTTCCTTCTCCCAATCCTTCTTCTTCCTTACTTCCTTCTCCTAATCCTCCCTTCTCCCAATCCTTCTCCTTCCTTTCTTCCGTCACCTAATCCCTGTTCTCTCAATCCTTCCCCTTCCAATCTTCCTCCTAATCCTTCCCCTTCCTTTCTTCCGTCTCCTAATCTTTTTCCTTCCTCTCTTCCTCTTCCCAATCCTTCTCCTTCGTTTCTTCCGTCTCCTAATCCTTCTTCTTCCTTTCTTCATTCTCCTTCCTTTCTTCCACCTCCTAATCCCCGTCCTCGCCCCCAATCGCAGGAACTGATTCGTCTCATGGGCTTAGAAAGATGGCTGGTCTGGTTCGGTTGGTTCCTGCATTCCTTCATCATCATCCTTGTCGTCTCAACCATCATGACGATTCTACTCAAGTTGGAACTCACGCCCATGGATGACACGTCGGGTTTTCTGCCGCCCATTATCATCCACACGGATCCCTTCTTCATGTGGGTGCTCTTCGTGCTCTATGGCGTGTCATCCATCGCCTTCTGCTTCGCTGTGTCGACGTTCTTCAGCCGGCGTGAGTTGTTCGTTTTGGGGTTTGGTGTATGTGTTGCTTTTTGTTTGGTTTGAGTTTGATTTTTTTTATATATCTTGTTTTTTTCTCTTTCTTTTTTTCATTTTTCCTTTCATTCTATTTTTTTCTTGTTTTCTTTATTTTCGTTCGTTTTATTTTCTTTCTTTTTATTTTTCTTCTTTTCTGTATCCTCTTCTTTTCTTTCTTCAAATCTTACTCTTCCTTTCCTTCTATTTTCTCTTTTTCTCACTTACCCTCCGTTATCCCTCTTTCTCCCTCACTCACCCTCTCTTTCTCTCCCTCAGCCACGCTCGCCACAACCTTGGGCATCCTGCTGTGGCTGGTATCCTACTTCCTGCCTCGTCAGCTGATGGACTTCGAGTACAACGACCTTGGTCTGGCGCCGAAGATCCTGTCCTGCTTCTTACCCAACATGGCCATCACCTGGGCCTTCAGGATTATCGCTATGTTTGAAGGGAGATGTAAGCATCTTGCGAAATCAGTCGGGGAAGTGAGGGGGACGTGTGGAAGAGACTAAGGGATTCGAGAGGAGCAGGTGGATGTAAGGATGATGGTGGTGGCGGTGGTGGTGGTTGTAGTGGCGGTGATGCACCATGTGTTGGTGTATTTTTTTTTTTTTTTTTTTTTTTTTTAGAACGTCATATATTAGTTGTTTTAATCTCACTTCAACGGGGAACAGGCTACTTTGGGCCTTATTGGGTCATTGTGTGGCTTTAACGACCCTCCTTCCTGCAGCGTTGGGCGTGCAGTGGAGCCGCCTGTGGGACACCGGCAACCCCCGAGATCAGCTGACTCCGGCTATGGTCCTCATCATGCTGGCCGTCGATACCATTTTGTACCTTTTCATCACATGGTACGTCGATCACGTCAGCCCGGGCAAATATGGAGTTCCCTTGCCATGGTACTTCCCTTTCCAGGTTAGTGCTCAGATCTTTTCGTTTTCTCTCTCTCTCTCTCTCTCTCTCTCTCTCTATCTATCTATCTATCTATCTATCTATCTATCTATCTATCTATCTTTCTATCTATCTATCTATCTATCTATCTATCTATCTTCGTTAGTACGTGTAAAGTACTAAAGTAAAGTTTTCCTTTCCCTCAAAATGCGTCCTTGTTCTCCCTTCTCTCAAATCACTTCTTTGTTTTCCCTTTCTCTCTATTTTTCTCGAATTACTTACTGTTTTGTGATTATTCAATCGACTCATCCTTCCCCATCTCTCATGCAGAGGAGCTACTGGTGTGGTGCGTCTACGACAGAGGATCACTCTCGAGGCTTCGGCTCTGAGTCATCGGAGAACGAGTACTTCGAGGAGGAACCGGACGGTCTCAAGCCGGGAATCACTATAAAGAAATTACGGTACTATTGTCTTTTGGATGTTGCCGTGATAGAACTGATGTCGAAAAGATATTGGAATTTCTTTGTCAGAAGAGACAGATAATTATATTTGGTTGAGAAATTATTATGCAGATTTGCTAATTTTTTTTGCCTAGAAATACAAATACTTTGTCACCAACACGGGAAAAATTGTTACCAACAGAATTCTACATCTTAAACGAGTATATTATGACATTATGAAACATATTTAGGTAATATCTTAATTTGATCAGAGCACAGCATCAACGCGACGCCACAACTCTAAGCCCAAGAAAAATACTCCGTAAAGTAAAGGAAAACTGAATCGCATAATGACATGCATTTCAGGAAGGAGTTTAAGACACTAGGAGGGAAGACGAAGGTGGCTGTCGAGGACGTGTCTCTGACGTGTTACGAAGGCCAATGCACGGTCTTGCTGGGGCACAACGGCGCTGGCAAGACCACTACGATGTCCGTCCTCACAGGTCAAGCCCCTCATTTGTTTCTCAAGACACCGTTACAGGAAAGTTAATGAATGGTATAACGTCGATGATTTGATAGAAAAAAATAGATAAATAATACGTTCGGGCTCCTCTTCTTCCAGGTGTGTACGCCCCTTCGGCTGGCTACGCAGAAGTGGGCGGCTGGGACATCGCCACCAACCTGAAGAAGGCGAGGGAGGAGATCGGACTGTGCCCACAACACAATATGCTGTTCATTGACCTCACAGTCCTCCAGCATCTCCTCTTCTTCGGTAGAGTGAGTGAATAAATGATCTATGTTGACGAAAAGGTCTCCATTGAGCGTAAATAAAGATATCAATACTTTCAAACAGTCTCCTTCCAACGGTCATTATCACCATCATTATATGCGACTCCTGATATCATAACATCTCCTTTTATAAAAGTCCTCCCACTCCTATGTTACAGTTGAAAGGAATGACAACGAAAGACGCTCGCAAGGAAGCCGAGGAGCTCATGCAACGCCTGGAACTGAAGGAGAAGAAGAACATGTTTGGTAACCAGCTGTCCGGAGGCATGAAGAGGAAGCTTTGCCTCGCCATTGCTCTCATCGGAGGCTCGAAGGTGAGGCTCGACGACTGGGATTCCGCCTTAGCAACAGCTGATTGATATCTTCTTCTTTTTAATGGCAGGGATGTGATTATTGTATTTTGGGAGAGATGAATGAATAGGCTGCGTCCGCATGTCCAGTTGGTATGTTAAGGAGAACCAGTTATATGCACACTTTTTTCGGAAAAGAGCAAAACGATAGAATGGATTTTGGGAAAAGGACATCAGGAATCATACATTACGCTTACATACATACACCCAAACTAGCACACACACAGGTACTGATACGCAAAATATCCCAAACTTATACTGATGAAACAACTTGAAGCCAGCAGTGTGAACGCCCCTCAACCGAGCTTTATTTCGGCTCCAGGTGGTGATTCTCGACGAGCCGAGCAGCGGCCTCGACCCGGAGTCCCGACGATGGGTGTGGGAAGTGGTGCAAGGGGAACGTGGGCGCCGGACCGTCCTCGTCACCACACACCACATGGAAGAGGCCGACGTGCTGGGCGACCGCATAGCCATCATGGCGTCGGGCAGGGTCGTCTGCTCCGGATCCACGCTCTTCCTCAAAAACAAATTCGGTGAGACACGTTGAGGACGAGGATTAGGTTCGCTTCCTCGCCTTGTTTCCTTACGTATTTTAATCCAAATGGAAATATGAAGTCTGGATTTCTAGCATACGGGGGATTTTAACGATTAGCGATCCATAACTCCATAAAAAAAGAAAAGAAAATCAGGATAGATAGATAAAACATGTACATATATCAGGATAGATAGATAGATAGAAAGATATAGATACAGACGTATAAATAAATATATATATATGCCCTTTCCACAGGTGATGGATACACACTGACAATAATGGTCTCAGAGGACAGCAGCATTAAGGACATACAGACAGAGGTCATGAAGCACCTTCCTGAAGCGGCCCTGAGGTCATCTCAGGGGGGTGAAGTGACCTTTAAACTCCCCCCGATGACAGCCTCCTTCGCCCCTCTTCTCGACTCGCTCACGGAACAGAAAGAGAAAATGGGAATCAGACATCTAGGCCTATCGCTCACCAGCATGGAGCAGGTCTTCTTAAGGTACGTTCTAACCCGCGTCGAACCTGTGGCCGGAACGTTGTGATAAGTTTTGTAAATAGATAAATGAATGGATTAATAAAGACGTAAACAAGTAACAGATAAATAGTTGGATAGATAAATGAATAAAGAAAGATGTAAATACGGTACTAAATAAACAGATAAGAAATTAAAAAACTACAAAGAATAACAGAAATGAATAAAGATGTAAACAAAGTACTAAAAAGATAAGAAATGAATAAGATGTAAACAAAGTACTAAATAAACAGATAAGAAATGAATAAAAATGTAAACAAGTAAGGTACTATGGATAAATAAATGAAATGAATTAATAAAGATATAAAAAGGTAAGCTAATAAATGAATAGATAAATAAATGAATAAGGACTTAGCCAAGTAAGGCATCATATAGATAAATAAATAAGATCAATGAATAGTTAAGGACGCAAAAAGTAAGACACTAGAAAAAGAAAGAAAGAATGAAAGACGTAAACAAAAACAAAAAAACAAACTTTTACACAATATACAGTACTCAACCCTTCTCTCTTGCCTTGGGTGTCCAGAGTGGGTGACTTCGCTGAGGGCGCTGACAAAGAGTCGCCGCAAGGGCTGAACGGAACACTCTACGACAAGATTAACATTAACGACGACGCCAACAACGGGTTCCTCGGCAACCACCAGCAGGGCGCTAATGGATACAGTAGTCAGCGCTTTCTTTTCAACAGTCAAGCAGGTATGGATTGGGTTAGGCTGGTCGGTGAATGCGAAAGGAACAACGAAGGGAAGGACAAGAAAACACGCGAATGTGCACGAATGAGGTGGTATATTCGTGCGCTTTTCTTGTTCTTCCCTTCGTTGTTCTTTTCGTAATTTGGTTGACATGAATTCCACACGAGTAGGTGCGTGTGTTTCAGAAGCAAAGGTGTGTGTTTGTGTGTGTGTCTGTATATTGAGGATATTTACATGCTGTCTGTTTCTGATTCAAAAGCAAAATGTATATATTGACGAGATTCATTCTAAGCTAGGTATGTCGACAGAATTTGCAGTCCACAGACATAATTTTGCATTCATTAGAATGTATTTCGTTAATCCACGCTTGATGATGCATCCTCAGAAGTGGACATGAGGCTGACAGGATGGGCGTTATTGAAGCAGAGAATAAGAGCGTTTTTCGCCAAAAGGATGATTTATTCCAAGAGGAAATGGGTTCTCCTTCTTACACAGGTATTTCGTCAGGTCTTTTATTTTATTCACCTTCGTCTTCTGTGTTTTCTACTAGTAATACTATTTCTTTTCTTCCCTCTCCCTCTCCTCTTACTTTTTTATTTACTTTTGTTTTCATCTCATTATCATTATCATTCTTAATCTTATTCTTGTTCTCATTCTCATTCTTACTTTTATTTTTATTTTTGTATTCTCATTTCCATTTTCTTTCTTCTCCTCCTTCTCCTTGACCTTCTTTTTCTCATTCTCCTCTTTCTTCTCCTTCACCTTCTCTTTTTTCTCATTTTTTTCCTCGTTTTTGTCCTTTTAACCAGCTGATATATGAATCGTTCCGAAATAAAGCGACTCCGAAATATGACACATTAACCCTTTTGTAACATTCTCTCTCTTCCTTTGCGACATATTAAGATTTGACGGTGGGTGTAACGGCCTCCTTTAACACTTAACATATTCAGATTTATAAACGTAACAATATATAGCCGGGGAGGGAAGATATATATATAAAATGAAAAATAAATCATTTCTTTTTACTTTTCTTTTAATAAAAAGTAAAGAATGATTTGAATAACCAATACAGTATATTGTATAGCAGTACGTTATCTTGTGTCCATTGCAGGGTCTCCTTCCAGTACTAATCACCATCATGTGCCTCTTGGTCGACGCTTCCTTCAACGAGGAGACCTTCCAGGAACCTCCGCGCGTCCTCAACTTGTCAATGTTTACTCAAAGCAAGTCCTTCGTACACGCTGGCCAAGGCCGTGAGGATCTCGCTGCCTCTTACCAAAGTCTCTTCTATGATCCGTATGAGGCAAGGTCGAGGTTTCCGTTTAGTTTGGGAGTGATTTGAGCTTAATTATCATTGCGCGTGGGGGTTAGAATGTTCTGTGGGTTTTATTCTCCAATTTCCTTTTTTTTTGGGGGGGGGGATGTCTTATTCATCTTGGGTTGTTTAGTCGTGTGGAAGTTAGTCTTCTTGTCCAGGAATCTATCTAGTAACGTCTTTTGAATACCTATACAGACTGCAGCTCTTGAGTACATCATGTAAAAATAAACTGTTTAACACCCATCCACCCACACACACATACGCACGCACACGCAGATATATATGCTCATCAGTACAGATTCGTGGCTGTTTATGGTGCGCGCGATGTGATGGTATAGAATCAAATACAGTACACAAACAGTTACGATTTCCTTCCGTCTAATTCAGGTTCATAAACACTGACCTTTCTCTTGCAGGTGGAGTACGCAGACAACCTGACTGACAGACTCTTAGCTGAAGCAGATAAGGATATTTTCCAGTACCGTGAAAATAACATTTGTTCGGTAAGCAACAAATGCCATTTCTCCTCTTTACTATGCATTTCTTGCAGTCATCGTAATATTAATAAATCTTTCCTCGCTGTGGTTATCATGGTTTTATGATGTATGGTGCTGTATAGTATTGATCTGCGAAAAGTCCGAATTACGTTAAAAAAAAGAATTACATGTTATGGATGTCATACTACGGAGCAAATTTACACGTAATAAATAAGGTAGGGATATTCTTATTCAGAATTTTCACGTAAAAAAATCTCTTTATATCAGGCGTACGCATTTAACACATACACGTAGATTCAGTCACTAAATCAACAATTTCTTCTCCCTCCTTTCGTGATAAACTTTAGGCCGACTTCGAAGCTGGACTCTTCGGACTAACGACAAACATGAAGACCATGTACCAGTCGGTGCCTTACCATGCCCCAGGAGTTAGTACCACCATGGTCACTAACGCCCTCCTCAGCTTTGCCACCAACTCATCTAACCACTCAATTACCACAGTCAACCGCCCTCTACCACCAAACAGGACGGTAAGTCTCGTTAGGCGATTTGGCTATGCATTTTTTTTTTTTTTTTCTTCTTCCCTTTTCTCTTCCCTCTTTTTCTTTTTCTAACTGCGTGTCCTCTTTCACCGCAGTGGAAGGTGGGCCGAACCAGCACCTCAGGGAGTGCCTTCGTCTACGCTATGGTGATGCCCCTCGCTCTCGCCTTCCTGTCGGCCTCCTTCCTCGTGTTCCCTCTGGAGGAGCGAGAGACCAAGGCTAAGCAGGTGCGTTCGATCTGACTAACCCTACAATTATCTTTAAGGATCATTCGGAATCTTTGATACTGGTTTTATTCCGATTATTCGTGTTCGTTTTCTGCTTGTTTTTCTTTTTTTCTGCTATTTCTACTCCGTCTTTTGTCTTCTTGACGTACTCCTTTATCATCTGCTTCTTCTCGTGTTATTCTGCGATGCAGAATAACACTTGAGTCTCCCTCATCTTATCTTTTGTTTTCTTCGTCTCCTCCTCCTCTTTCATCATCTGCTTCTTCTCCCCATCTTCTTCCCCTTCCTCTTTCTCTCTTTCAGTGACAAAATCGTCCATAAAACCTCTCAGTACACACCAAAAGCCCAACCACGCTGACCGAGTACAAAACAAAAATAACACACGTCTCCCACACGTCGCCTTTTGTTTCTTCTCCTCCCCCTCCCCCTTCATTTTACACTTCTCCTCCCCCATCTTCCCCTATTCCTTATAGTCTATTAGCAAAACCATTCAAAACCTAACCACACAGACGGAGTACGATGCAAAAATAACACACACGTCTCCCTCCCCTTGTCTTTTTTTTTTTTTTTTTTTTTTTCCGCCTCCTCCTTCGTTTTCTGCTTCTCTTCCTTCCCTATCTTCTTCCCCTCTTCCTATTACTCTACAAGCAAAACCATCCAAAGACGGAGTACGATGCAAGAATAACACGTCTTTTCCCTACACAGGTCCAAGTCATGACAGGCGCTCCCCTGTGGGCTCTGTGGACCACGACCTTCCTGTGGGACCTCCTCACGTACACGGTGTCCGCTCTGGCCGTCTTCATCTTCTTCATGATAATGGATTCGAAGGATTATTTCACCGTCGCCCAAGCACCTGGTAACGACAACTTGTTCACGATTTTCTGGATAAATATTAGTTAACTTTTGGCGCGTGGAAAGGTGTATTGTAACTACTGTTAGTATCTGTGATAGAAGTAGTTATGCATCATTATTATTGTAGTTGTTGTTGCTGTTGCTTTGATTAATATTAGTATCATTATTGTTATGTGTATCATCATAAGTATTTTTATTATAATTGTTATTATATTATTATTATTATCAATATTATTATCATTGTTGTAGTTGCTGTTGCTATTGTATTTGACATAATTTCTATTAAGCTTATCATTATCATCATTATTATTATTCCTTTCTTCAATTATCACCATTATCATCATCGCTGTATATGTGTTTTGTGTGTGTGTGTGTGCGTGTGTCTATATATATATATATATATATATATATATATATATATATATATATATATATATATATATATTCTACGGTTTCCTTTCAGGTGCGCTATTCTTGCTACTACTGCTGTACGGCTGGGGCAGCATCCCCATGGCTTATGTCTTCAGCTTCCCCTTCCAAACGGCAGCCTCCGGTTTCGCCGTTTTGGCTCTCATCAACATCGTCGCAGGTGGGTTTCATCTTAAATATAAATATGCCTACGGAACAGATAGGTAAATATAGAGTAATAAGTATATAGAAATACAAAGAAACAAATATGAGGTGATAAATAATAAAACAGATATATACTCACGCAAGCGCATTCACATACACACTCTCTCTCTCTCTCTCTCTCCTCTCTCTCTCTCTCTCTCTCTCTCTCTCTCTCTCTCTCTCTCTCTCTCTCTCTCACAACACACACACACACACACACACACACACACACACACACACACACACACACACACACACACACACACACACACACACGTATATATGTATATATACATTGTGATGGAAAAACCTGGATTCTCTTCAGGCGAGATCATCACGACTGCCGTCTGGGCGCTGGATCTCTCCGACCAGCCCGACCTTATCATTGTTAGTGATGTTCTACACTGGGTTACTTCCCTTATCCCAGCATACCCGGCCTCCATGGTAAGAATTGTATTTTTCATATTAATCATCATTATTACTCTTTATGCCTGCTGTTATTGGTATTATTATTATCATCTTTATAAGTATCATTATCATATCTATTTATTGTGTTGACTCTCGTTAGCATTATTATCAGTGGTACCATAAGTATTTGCATTATCTTGTTGTTGTTTTTTGGGGGGAAATATCCTTTTGGGGAAAAAATGTTTCTAATTACAACTATTAAGAGTTTCATCTTGCACAAAACACCCTTTAATTTCTCTATATTCATCCATAACTCTCAGTCCCTTAGGAAGCCATTCTGTCGACCCATTGTATTCTCGTTCACATACTGCTATTCACATTTCCCACTACAGGCCTTCATGCACCTGGTTGACACGAGTACATACAACACCCAGTGCGACCAGTTCAATGAGACGGTAAAGGAGGAGCTGTGTAACACGCTAACTCAAATGCTGCCCAACAACAGCTACATGATATGTTGTCGTAAGTCGACAGCGTTTGTAATGTTGATTTTTATGGGAGGAAATCTTTGGAACACACATGAAGTTTTTTGGGGGTGATTTAATCAGTAGTGGTAGTTGTAATTCGTCAAATCTGAAAGGGCAAATAGCCTTCCGTAAACTTTCTTCCTCTCTCTCTCTCTCTCTCTCTCTCTCTCTCTCTCTCTCTCTCTCTCTCTCTCTCTCTCTCTCTCTCTCTTCATGGTTATGTAATGATGAGAATTTCAAAATAGATTCAAAGTCGATTCATTGCTTCATACCTACTAAACATGATTTTTTTACAGCCCAATGTGCAGAGGTGGGCACAGGGATCTGCTTTGAAAAACACTCTTACTTCATGTTCAATAGCAACGGCATGGGACCCAATCTGCTCACGCTGTTCATCAATGGTGTAATCTTCCTGTCAGTCCTCGTGTTATTGGAAAGCAAGGCTGCCAAAATGCTGAAGTAAGTCCTAACTCTGTTTCACAATCCTTTATATTGTTCTTTTAGAGGCATGTATTGAAATTATTTCATGAAATCACACACAGTCTATACAGAATTCAGTGGTATTTATTAGTTTTCCTATTCATATCAACAATACTAATGCTAACACTGTGAACAGGAGTACATGGTGGCGGATAGTGACTCGTTGCTCGCAGGGTAAAGCTAGTAAGACGACCCCTGCCTGGGAGTTAACACAGGACAACGACGTCGCAGCAGAGGCTGACTTAGTACGAAATGTGTTTGAGTCGCGTCAGGCTGGAGGTAAGAAAATGCAAGATGGAAACGTGAAATAGGCCTACATAGAGTGAACTTCTCAGCTAGAAGTTATATAAAAATACACAGTTGTAGAACTTCTTAACAAGACCTCGTTTTATCGGATCTACGTTGTTTTTCAGGTGGGTTGGATGACTCTACCCTGCTCGTCTCCAGCTTGAAGAAGCAGTTTCTGGGAGCCCCTCGACCAGCGGTTAGTGGCGTGAGCTTCCGCGTGGCTAAAGGAGAATGCTTAGGCCTCCTGGGGGTCAATGGAGCAGGCAAGACGACGACATTCAGGATGTTGACCGGAGATGAGGAACCCTCTTCAGGAGACGCCATGGTAGATAACATATCACTTCACAGGGATAAGAACAAGGTAAATTCTCTTTTATTGCTTCTATCGTTCTTTGTGTATATTGTTTCCGTTTGATGAATGTATGATGAATTAGCCTTTATTCTGAACAATTGAATTCAACTTAATGATACAATTCACTATGCCAGTGAGTAACAAATTTGTAGCTTAACGTTAATGTTCTTTATTTACACATTGAAATGCTGTTTACCCTCATTCAGCATTCAGATAATTCCCTTTCTCATGTCTCTGTATACATATTACACTGACCCAAAGACCATGTCCTTCATAAGTGTTTAACACCATTTATTTACTCATTAACAGTTCGTGCAGCAGATAGGATACTGCCCTCAATTTGACGCTGTTCTAGGCGAACTAACAGCCATCGAGATGCTGACGCTCGTGGGCAGACTAAGAGGAGTCAGCGACGCACGGATGAAGCGCTTGGTTAATGAGTTGGTGACTCTGGTTGGACTCACAGAATGTGCGCTGCGTCCTTCTTCGACGTATTCGGGAGGAAACCGCAGGAAACTCTCCACTGCCATGGCGCTAGTTGGATCGCCGCAGCTGGTGTTCCTTGACGAGCCAACCTCAGGCGTCGACCCAGCATCTCGACGTCGAGTGTGGACCGCCGTCACGAAGGCAATCAACAACGGCCAGAGTGTGGTCCTCACCAGTCATTCCATGGAGGAGTGCGAGGCGCTATGTTCTCGTATCATTATTATGTCTCGTGGAACCCTTCGTTGTGTAGGAACTACGAGCCACTTGAAGGCTAAGTTTGGCCAAGGTTACAGTCTCCAAATAAAACTGAGAACCCATGGCTTATGTCCCAAGGGCGCTACAAACACTGAAGACATCTACACATCAAAGGTGCAGCAAGTAAAGAGTTCCATCAGTTACTATCTTCCTGGAGCCGTCATTATAGACCAACATAAGGTAAGAAACCAGAGCTAAAGAAGGATTATTAAAGCTGGAAATGCGTAATTATAAATTTCCACGAACAGTATGCACATAGGTTGAACTGAATTAATTGTGACAAATGTAGAAGAAAGTATGAATGAAAATTAATATCTTCGCCATGAAGGTATGCATTCTCCTTCATGCCATTTTCCACACGTGCATAGGTCCGATTCCACATGTTAAAAGGTGTATTAATGGAATTCTGTGGCATCATTCCAGGGCATGTTGTCGTACAGGATCCCGACTAGGATATCGTGGGGGCGACTCTTCTCCGTGATGGAGGCGCTGAAGAGTGGCAGGCAACCCAGCGACCGAGATAGTGACGCCATCGCCAGTCCCGTCGCCAACCCGCAAGAGTCAATCGTGGAGGACTACGCTGCCTCAGACACTTCGTTGGAGCAAGTGTTCTTGACTTTCGCCCGAGAAGCTTCGGGCGAAAATCAGAATAAAGACATTCCTCAGGAAGTCGTCACGAAATTGTGAAGTCGCGTCTAGCCTTCCATGCGCCCGGGTTCTACGTGGCGGATTGGCGTGAATGTGTTTGAATGTATGTGTTTGTGTGCGTATGTGACATAGACACGCACACACACGTACGTATATATATACGTGTGGGTATATATATGTGTGTATATATAAATGCATATATATATATATATATATATATATATATATATATATATATATATATATATATATATATATATATATATATATATACATATATAATATATATATATATATATATATATATATATATATATATATATATATATATATATATATATACATATATATATATATATATATATATATATATATATATATATAATATATATATATATATATATATATTTATATATCTGTTTTTATGTATATGTGGATATATACATTCATATATGTATATATATAGATACATATGTGTATTACATATTATATATATATATATATATATATATATATATATGTATACATATACATACATACATGAATATTTATACACATATATGCATGTATGTATGTATATTATATGTGTATATATACATATATACACACATATGCATATACATATGTGTGCTTGTGTGTGTGTGTGAGTATCAAACTCTCATGATTACCTCATAACATAACCAAAATATAAATGGCAATTCTCATTCTCATTTTGATGCATAGGAATACAAAGACATTTACCTTCATTTCATAATTCTTATTTATGTTTGCTGAGTAATCGTCCTTGTTACTATTTATTATAAATACTTCAATTAGGATATATATTAGGGTAGCTGTTCTCTCTTCTTTTTTTCTTTTCTTTTTTTTTGGGGGGGGGCATAGTTACCCCTTACAGTACAGTGATAGGTTACTATGGATGAGAGAGAAGTGGGCCTAGTGGAGGCGAATGAAGGGTCTCGCCCTGTGGGTTTATTGTGGAACGTAAAGGTGAAACCCCAAGAAGCCCCTGTTCCCCTGGGTGCCGAGGGCGGAGTGGTGGAGAACTAGACCCTGTGACTTGGTCTGCCGTTTGTCTCTCACTTTCTTCTGCCTCTGTTGAGAGGTGTCCTTTAAAGTGGCGGCTCCAGGGGCTTTTGTTTACACCCACAAAAGTGTCAGAAATGAAAGCAGTGCGGACACCTACGTCCGCTGAAAGAGGAAGGTTGCTGCTGGGACAAAGATGTGAAGAAGGTACCATCTGGCCTCTAGCATATTGTTTACAATTATCATTACCTTGACTCCATTCCTCTTAGTCATCCTTCCTTTGGCAAAAACAACATTGTAGCGAGACGCTGTAAGTTTGAATTAAAGCATCATTTCTTTGGTAATAGAAAATAAGTATTTTTTACTGCATTATTAATGGACAACCCTGTATTGTTTTTTTCAATAAAATATAAATGCAGGAGTATGTAGAAGACATAATACATATATCCCTTCTCCAGTCTGATCAAAAAAGAATTCAGTTCTTTATTGTGATAAAGTTAATATACTTCCGGGGTTTTATTCAATTCGAATGCAAGAAAATCGAACTTTGGTTCTGTCATCATCCTTATTCATCTTTGCATCAACAGCAAAATCTTTATTATTATCATTTATCAATCATTTACTTATGAGTTTTTTTCATTCACCACTTCATTCATAATTATTATTATTCGATTAACTCCAGAGAAAATGCCTCGTTACCCCCAGTTTGAGAATCACTGTTTTAAAGTGTAAAAGCTCCCTGTAGAAAACCCAGAAAAAAATAATGTGTGAAAGAAAGTGCTAGTTTTATGAAGTTAAGCCCATATTTTCAGAGAGGAGATATCCCAGTTATTTATAGTAGACTTGCAACCGAGACTATGTATTGATGTAACCGAAGGTCAGTAGGTAAATTAGTAAATATATTATCTTTTTTTAGTGAAGTTGTTTTATTTACATTTGCAACAAGGTAACAGAAAAAAAATTCTTTTCTTTTTTATCAGAAATGAAGAAAAAAACAATATTCATACAATGCTTCACAGTTTAAGAATAACATCCTTTATTTCATTAATAAAAAAATCAATAAACATGCATTGTTGATACAAAAAAAAAACACCATTAGAAATGATATATCACCACATTCTTACCATCCTTAGATTTAAAAAAAAAAATTGTAATGAGATGATGGTTACGTTTACCCTTAACCGTTATATATAGCATGCAAAACCTATTTCTGACTGTTTGTAAACGTTATATCTGTTTTAGACTAGAGCGTAATCATAAGCATTACACATGACTTGAAACGTGAATTTATATTTTTGTGTACTTATTTCCTATTGTATAAATTATATACATTCTTCGCAAAGTTACAAAAAATATAACCGTCAATAAATATAAAAGTCAAAGGTAATACGGACATTTATATCTAGTCATATATATAGTTTCTACACAGAAGAATATTTATTCAATTATACGAAAAATACATGGAAATAATGAAATTCCGTGTGTCCGGGAAATGTGTTGTATGGGAAATAATACCAAACTACATTAAACAATGTTATTGATCAAGCAAATCTCTGTTTTCTAAGAATGAATAATATCAAATGAGTACAGCAGAGCGTAGAAAAATTAAATCCATGTATATCCTTCCTTATCACTAAGTATGTCTGATGCTCCATGTAGGTATAAATTCCAATATGTTAAAGCATTTTAAAAACAACAACCTTTGCTGCTTTCAACACGTCGCTTCATCCTTCCTAAAATGAATTTGGTGACTAGGAGTTGATTGCCTTTTTTATGCGATTGGACTGAGTACCGTTGGAAATATCCAGAGCAATTACATTATAAAATTCCTGAACAAAGACATATGATATATCATATCATTTTTTATTTGTTCTTGTATTACTACATTGGAGAATAGAAGTGGTAGTGTGTGTGTGTGTGTGTGTGTGTGTGTGTGTGTGTGTGTGTGTGTGTGTGTGTGTGTGTGTGTGTGTGAATATACACCTTGCCCTGACCCCCTGGCTACCTAATGAAGTGTTACAGGTTGATATGTTATAATGTTACGATTTCGTAACGTATTTAGAGAGGGAAGGAAGGGGGAGAATGGAGAAAGAAAGGAGGGGGAGTGAGGAGGGAAGTTGTAAACGGAAGTAAAAGACACAAGAAAGACTGACTGAGCTTTCTCCGTCAGTGCACCAGGAATCCTTATTGCAGATAAAAAGGTATGCATTAATATTGATATAGTTTCACAGCGCAAGAGACGTATTCGGCCGGTTTCGCCAATATCAAAAATAAATATTTCCGATAAGTATATAGTCGAAACTGGTCGTACATCTCTAGCAGTGTGAAGAAATTAATTCTAATTCACGCCCCTTTTCTATAACTGCCACAATGAACATAGTTGGTCTTCATTTCTGTAGTTACTGCATGCAAGCAATGCCTCGAAAGTAGACTTCTCGTGGATCTACACTATATTGTTACCCCGTGGTGAGTACTCAATGTAAGCTCAGTTGTGGAGGCTCTTAATATGCACTCTTTTCAGGATAGGGCTGATCTGGGCCTTGTTCGTGTGGGAGACCTGGGGCCTGCTGTGGGTATGGTGGAATTGGTGCCTGCTGTGGGTATGGTGGAGCTGCTGCTTGTTGTGGGTATGGTGGAGCTGCTGCCTGCTGTGGATATGTTGGAGCTGTTGCCTGCTGTGGGTATGACGGACCGGATTCCTTTTGTGGGTAGTATGGTGGAACTGAATCATGCTGTGGGTAAGATGGAGCTTCTGCCTGCTGTGGGTATGGAGGAACTGCTGCCTGCTGTGAGTATGGTGGAGCTGCTTCCTGCTGTGGGTATGGAGGAACTGCTGCCTGCTGTGAGTATGGTGGAGCTGCTTCCTGCTGTGGGTATGGAGGAACTGCTGCCTGCTGTGAGTACTGAGGAACTGCTGCCTGCTGTGGATATGGTGAATTTCCTACCGTCCGCTGTGCTGATACTGTAGTTGTTCCATATTGATGGCTTATATGCATGTCTGTCCTCGTAGACACAGAAGTAATTAATGATGCATGACGAATGTAGCAAATGATCGTAAGTCCTAACCCCAGAATAATCACTGAAGAGACAAAAACAGATTACCGGCGATTAGGTGTTTGTATGGCAATGTTGTGCGGGTAGAATCCTATAAATTAAGTGTTAATGCTGCCATAATAGGTATATTCAATAATTATAAATGTATAAATACTACATCTCCGTGTGTGTGTATGTATGTATGTATGTGTGTGTGTGTGTGTGTGTGTGTGTGTGTGTGAAAATATATGTATATACATACATGTATATACATATATATAGGTGGATAAATATATGTATGTATAAGTGGTTTTATATATATATATATATTATATATATATATGTGTGTGTGTGTGTGTGTGTGTGTGTGTGTGTGTGTGTGTGTGTGTGTGTGTGTGGTGTGTGTGTGTGCATGTATATATATGAATATATATGTATAATATATATATATATATATATATATATATATATATGTGTGTGTGTGTGTGTGTGTGTGTGTGTGTGTGTGTGTGTGTGTGTGTGTGTGTGTGTGTGT